TTTTTTTATGTATTTATGGAGCAGAATACCTAGCTAATCACAAGCAATTATCACTTGAAATACATGAAGCTCACTGTCAGTGGTTTTACAGTAACAAACATTATTTCCAATATGTGCCCTCAGTTAAATTCTAACAGTTACACATATTTAAATACTCCTAGAGTATACCAGGAAGAGTCAGTATACTTTCAACTACAACCTGCACACTAATTATTCTATTGGTAAATATGAGACATATATGAAATACAGTCAATAGCTAGTGATCAAAATATGATATCATATGTATTTTAAATTATAGCTTTTGATCTCTAAAGCAAAGAATTCTACTTTTACACCATGTTTTTTATTCCATAAGCAACATTTTCTAAAATATGTGATAAATTATAGATATTAAGACATGAAGAATGCATTTTTTAATCTCCTGGCACTAATTCGGAACACTAATATTTCAAATTTCAGAAAAATTCAAATCAAATAAAAGTGTAGTTTCAATTAAAGGAACGCAAAAAATGATCAAATTAAAATAATACATTTCTATAAAGCAAAACTTATAAACAAAGTCAAAGGGTAAATTGCAACTGTTAAAAAACATTATTGGTAATATTGCTGGCAAAGATTTATTGCATCTATTATGTAATTATTGACTAGTACTGATAAGTTTAAAAGAGTAACAAAAGGGCCTAAAGAGTCAGTTAGTAAAAAAAGGAATATTCATGTCCCCTCAACTACAAAAATGTGATCAATTTCATTCATAATAAGACAAACGTATATTGAAAGTACATAGAGATGCAATTTTTCACCTATTTACAAAATTCAAGTCTTACAATCCCATTTGTTGGCATTGCTATAGAGAAATAAATATTCTTACACATCACTGACAGAGGTGTAAAGTACACCATCACCTATGGAGGAGGATAGGTAACATCTACCAAAATTAAAGATTTTTTTATTTTTAAATCAGAATTCCACTCTGGAAACCTCTCCCTTCAGGGACATCTATACCTTTGCTAAATGATGTGCATACAAAGACATTCATTACAGTACTGCCTGCAATGCAACTAAACAACAGCAATAACAACAAAAATACCAAGAGCTAATAAACATTCATTAAAATAACCTTGGGAGAGGGCATGCCAGTGAAAGGTGAACTTAAAGACCTCCTCAAATTCACACTTCCATAAAAGAAATGTTTGATGACAGAGATTTTTGTTTCAATAATTTCAAATAATTATCACAACCATTAACAAGACTACAAAAGGCTATACTTTATAGAGCCCTTTCCAGTGAATTACCACATTTGAGCATTACAATAGGCACTGAGATAGAGTTCTGTGTAAATGAAGATGAAACGGCCCCATAACCTGCTTCCAGAGTGTTCACAGTCTACTTGGTGAGGCAGCAACCTTGAAAAGGGGTTCCAAATATTTTCTGTAAATGGTCATTAGTAAATACTTTAGACTTTGTGACTCTTATTTTCTTTCACTGCTTCTCGATTTTGCCATCATAGCTTGAAAACAGCTACATAAAATACATAAATGTGAATCTAGTTGTATTACAAAAAGACATCATTTTTAGAAACTGAATTTGCTTCTGTGCTATTTCCATGTATCACCAATAATACTTAAAATTTTCAATAGTTATTATTATTATCTATTATGCAAGCAACACCAGCATAACCACAGACAGTGGTTTAACTGACCCACAATCTAAACTATAAACCAAACTTTATAACACACTTGAATTAGAAATATAAAACAATATTTCTCAGTGTTACATGTAAGGAACTAGAAATGGAGGAAATCAAAGACACTCACCAGTTGTAATACAGATAAAAAGAAAAGAAACCCTAACTCAGACTCCGCTGTTTACTGAGTAATTCTCATTATCTCATGAAAGCAATGAGTCTACCCTAATGATGGGTGTCATACATGGCCTGCATTTTAGGATGTGTGTGATATTTTATATAAAATTAAATTCTTAGTTATAAAGGAATTCATTTAGCTCTGTTCAAATTTTGAAAAATAAAAGATGATGACCTATATCAGTTATTATATAATTTTTGGAAATGAGAGAACACTTTTGTTGTAAAGCTATAATTACATTACCATATAGGTTTTTCTTTTTTTTTTCTGGGAAGAAAGGACTTACTTACTAACAAATGTGCTATTATAGCTTCCTGACCCTAAACTTTCAAGTATTTTAAAAGATCTTTAATAAATCAATGAGTTCAAATCCAAGATATATATATAGATATATATAGATACATAGACACACACTACGCACAATAATTTTGGTATTTAATTTCTCATGGCTGTTACATTCTGAGAAATGTATGAATTGTCAATTACGCATACCTGTATATATGTATAATTGCATATATTTAAAATGTAGATGTTGTATACATAATACATGTGTGTATATATATACATATATATATATACTATTTACCATTAGAAATGTCCTTAGCCTTATTAAAAAAGAAAAAAAAAACTCTTATTAGTGAGTAATGTGTATTGCCCAATGTCAATAAAATAAGTTCCCTAGTAATAAATCCAATCACTGGTAAGAAAACTCAAAGAAAATTTTAAAAATTATAAAAGAAGTTGGTAAGTATCAAACAGTTTGGCTTGAGCTCTTACGAGCAGTTTCAGATGTTCTGTAATGTGAAATATAACAATAGATATACAAAATTATAATCCAGAGCTTAAGGATGATGGAAACAAACTGATAATGTAGGAAATGTACTAATAATAGAACTGTATTGTATGATTATTATTTTATTTTTGTTGACAAAAATCCTGCGGACATTTCTGTGACAGAGAGGGGTAAAAAGGAGATCATTTTCAGATCTTTGGATGTGTTCCCTTCTCATGCTCATAGAAACTGTAATGATTTTATCTTCTACTCAGGAACACTTTGAAAATATATGGTTGATTCATTATGAATGTATTTATATGTATGTAATAATGTATTTATTTTATTTAAATATAAATTATTTTCTCTAATAAAAATAACGGGGCTGGAGCACATTATTATAAGTACATATGTGTTGTTGGACATTGAAAGTTGTTTTTTTTTTCAATTTTCACAATCATGTATGTTTGTATATACATTTGTAGAGGGTGATGTATGAGGGGAATGAGCCTATACAATCAAGTTAGAATTGCTCGCAAAGGCAGACGAAAATTGAGAAAGATTATGAGTAAAGGGATACAAGTCAGATAGGGAATAAGAGGACCATACCTAAAGGGTGTGACCCTTTAATTTGTCTGTTAATACTACTAGAATGGACCCTGATTTCTTCAGAACCTTCACAAAGGAACAGTTTCCCAGCTCTCACCACCTCCTGGTGGCTAACAAGCTCTCAACCATATGTTCACTGGTACCCAAGCCCAGAAAGATTATTTGTAACTAAACTACTGATTGAGATTTCATCTTTTACTAAAACTACGTAAACCATCAAAAACTGAGAAGCTATCTGATCTTTCTCTTCTTCTTTCTAGCAAATTTGATTTTGATTTTTAATTAAACTAAAATGACAAAAAATAAACACAACAAAATATTTTAATAACATATATATATATTTTTTTCCTTTTGGAATACTCCAAAAAAGAAACACTTTTCTGTTACTTTCCCTGTCCCCCTCCTTTTCAAGGAGTGAAAGGGTTATAGAAAAAAGATTTTGAAGTTCATAACAAAAATAACTCTACAGTAATTCATTATGTTCTGTTTTTACTTTAAGTATACTTATTTTCATTTACTTTATGGAATACACCATAGGGAAAACATGTAGGATAAAGATAAGGGGTTTTTCTTCTTGTTTTGATATGCATATCAGAGAATGATAGAGTTGTTCCAGATCGTTTTGTGCTTCATATTCTGACTCCATAGCTCCTGCCTTGTATGGAAAATACAGCTGCAACCCAGATCCTGTTGGATGAGGGATGGAACAGATGGTTGTGCTACTGCACTGCCTACACATTAGGGAAGCACCCTGGCTTTGGATGGAGTACTTTTTTTTTTTTTAGCACTAACAGTGCTAAAATGAAAATAAATAGTCAAGCAGGGAGATAGAAGTCACGGAGCCTGTAGACACGAAGGTTCTACTGCTGTGCTTGCTCCTTTTCCCATAGGTACTGAACCAACCTAAGTGTGGCTGCTTGCCAGCCGTCAGTAATTTATCAGAAGACGGTCTCCCCACTTCCCATGCTCTTCTTTACCCTGGAGCCCTGATGACACGTGTTTAAACTGCCCCTTATTACTGAGCGCACAATTTCCTAAAGGGTTTGACCAGCCATTAAATTGTCTTGCTGTATGTCTGAGAGAAAGGAACATTGGTCTGAAGTTCCTGATCATTTTATCAAATTCATTCTTTGGGGATTTTAACAAAACCTATGCATTGAGTATATATTTAATCTACATTTAAAATATAATTCTATGTGTATGGAAATTAATTTGGGGGTTTGATAAAATATCCATGTGCTTTTAAATGCTGACAAATTCAAGTGCAGCCTTTGTAACAATTAACAAAAATATATTAGAAGTCATAGAGTTTCTTAGCTTTATGTACAACAGCAGTAGATTAAAAAAAGAATCTGTAAATATCAATGTGCCAAGAAATGACATGGTGAATTCTAATACGCCTTCACGGTGCTAAAGACAAAATTACTGAATTATGTCTACATTTTTGTGTAGAATTATGTCTACAATTGTGTCTACTGAAAAGTGTTTACATTTTATATGAGAGAACAGAAAGAGTGATACGCTGGTAAAGAAAATTCAGTGTAGTACATGTGAACTGATGTTTAAGGAAATGTGCCATGCTTGGTGATGCTCATATTTTATAATCATTATTTCAAAATATTCAGAATAAGAAATAACATTCTATAACATAATTTACTTGAAGTTCCATATCTCTTCAAATCCAACTCCAGCTCCACCCTCATCTCACCCCTCAATTTCCCAGGAGAGGAAAAAACAAACAATAAACAAAAACTTACTTTTCCAACATACTGTGGATCTGGTCCCATATGTTCTTCTAAAACAAAGAACTGATTCCAAACCCACCCCCTTTTAGGACGGTGGTGGACTTCGGTTTCACCTTCGATGTGTTTGGTTTGGTTTCTGGTCCCCTTGATGGAGCTGTGGTGAGTGGCCCCATAACACCTCTGCACAAAACAGAGACACACGAGGACTGGGCAGATGCAGGAGGTGCTCGTAATTTTCATTGTAAGAGAACTTTCCAGTTCACAGCCTTCTAGCTTTTCCTTGTCAGCTACAAACGCCTAGTGAGCATTCGAGAGAGAAGCCAAAGCATCTTCTGGAAGGACAGTCCGAAGAAACTTGTTTAGCATGTCCATGATTTAACAGCCCATCAGGGAAAAGTCAGGCTACATTTACATCCTGAAACACTTAGAGGACCAAAGCCGTAGTTGTGTGTTTCTAAGTCTTCACAGGTGGTGAACAGGGGCAACCATTTTCTACCTGATAGAAAGAAAGAAAATTATATACATTACAAAACGTGCCAATTTTAAGTATTTGCTCAGAATACAAATTATACTGTTTTGCAGGGGGATGCTGATAGACGAAGAATATGTGCAAGTTCTTTTGGAAATAAACATAAACATACACAGTCATGCTTAAGTCTGCACATGGTATTTTTACATGGACATACATATTTGTATTTTAAATCTCAACTTTACACATATAGATATATGTATATATTTAATTATTCAAAACAACAGAAATGCAGTCCTAGAGAGTTTAAAAATTGTAAGGCACATGAATATGTGCCTTACAAAATGTGATCTAGTAGGGACTCCACACTAAGTGCAAATTTTTAATTTTGCTTTTGTGTTTATTTTGCTTTTGTTAGATGTAATACAACTTAATATATAGATCAATCACCTATTACGTATGACTCACAGAACTTCACAGAATATTCCCTCAGGTTGAAAATTTTTCACAAACTATCACAGCAATCAAGTAGGTACTTAAAATCTTTAGTAAGCAAAATAGAAGAAAGAAAATGGCTGAAAAAATATACGCTATTGAAAGTCACTCTACATCTGGGATAAGATTAGCACAACTGAACAAGTAAGAATATCAATGACTGAATTCTAGCTTGCTTGGATTTTAGTAGGCCTGGAGATGATGCTCTAGAACGCGGTCTTCACCTTCAGGCAAGAGAGATTCAAGCTTAGAATGACACTACATAATTCTAGCAGCAATGCAAAGAGAGGTACAATATAAGGGGGAAAAGATGGTGGCAAAAAGAACAGAGGGGGAGATACTTTGCTTTTCAAATAAGGAATGCTGAGGACTTGAAATTAAAAGGAATGAAATCAAAAGACACTTACTCCTTGGAAGGAAAGTTATGACCAACCTAGACAGCATATTAAAAAGCAGAGACATTACTTTGCCAACAAAGGTCCATCTAGTCAAGGCTATGGTTTTTCTAGTGGTCATGTATGGATGTGAGAGTTGGACTGTGAAGAAAGTTGAGCACCGAAGAATTGATGCTTTTGAACTATGGTGTTGGAGAAGACTCTTGAGAGTCCCTTGGACTACAAGGAGATCCAACCAGTCCATCCTAAAGGAGATCAGTCCTGGGTGTTCATTGGAAGGACTGATGCTAAAGCTGAAACTCCAATCCTTTGGCCACCTCATGCGAAGAGTTGACTCATTGGAAAAAACCCTGATGCTGGGAGGGATTGGGGGCAGGAGGAGAAGGGGATGACAGAGGATGAGATGGTTGGATGACATCACCTACTTGATAGACATGAGTTTGAGTAAACTCTGGGAGTTTTTGATGGACAGGGAGGCCTGGCATACTGCTATTCATGGGGTCACAGAGTCAGACACAACTGAGCGACTGAATTGAACTGAACTGAATAGTTATTCCATCTAGTAAAAAACATTAGATGTATCACTTTCTCACTCCATAAAGTTCACCTTTGCAAATCAGAGCAAACTGAAATGTAGATCTAAATGAATTACAAGGTGGTTGACATAAAAATATAAATGGTTTAAAAAACTGAGTATAAATAATCAATCATGGCATAATCATTTTTCTCATTTGGGAAAAATGTTGACACTAAGTAGGGGGATGAAAAAATTACAAGACCCAGAGCAAGGTACTTTTCTCTATCAGTGTCTCTCACCATGGGCTTCTCTGGTGGCTCAGATAGTAAAAGAAGCCGCCTGCAGGTAGACCTGGGTTTCATCCCTGGGTTGTGGAGATCCCCTAGAGGAGGGCCTGGCAACCCACTCCAGTATTTTTTCCTGAAGAATCCCATGGACAGAGGAGCCTGTTGGGTTACAGACCACAGGGTTGCAAAGAGCCCTACACAACTGAGTGACTAAGCACACATATCTCTTCCCATAATTAGAGTTAATAAAAATTCTTACTTCACCAATTGTGCAAGAATTATACTGAATTTGAATTGAAATTTTATTTTAGTTGCTGCTGCTGCTAAGTCGCTTCAATCATGTCCGACTCTGTGCAACCCCATAGACGGCAGCCCACCAGGCTCCTCCGTCCCTGGGGTTCTCCAGGCAAGAACACTGGAGTGGCCATTTCCTTCTCCAGTGCATGCATGCATGCTAAGTCGCTTCAGTCATGTATGACTCTATGTGACCCTATAGACAGCAGCCCACCAGGCTCCTCTGTCCAGTTGCTAGAAAATATAAATTGAAATCTGCAATATTTTCAAGGGCAAAGACACATTTTGATTGATTTAAATTAAAATGACTCAAAAACGCTTCTAACACATTTGAAAAAAGGAGTAAATACCATACTAACTCCAACATGGTAAGAGCAATGGAAAGAAAGTCCAAAAACAGAGATTTTCTTTTTTTTTTTTGACAACTTATTTACAATGTGCACTCACATGAAACATCTAATTTTGAATCTCAATTTTCTCATTTGTGACTTGAATAATTTATTTGAATAGTCTTCCAGTTTATCTAATAAATTATTTGAATCAGTTTTATTTTTAATTTATGAAAAGTTTCTTAATTTGGGGGACTTCTCTGATGATCCAGTGGCTACGACTCCACGCTCCCACTGCAGGGGGCCTGGGTTCCATCCTTGGTCAGGGAACTAGACCCTCATGCCATAACTAAGCTCCAGTGCAGCAAAATAAATAAATATATTTTTAAAAAACTTTCTTAATTTTCAACTCGTGCATCTCAAAAAAGAGACTTTCTTCTTAGAAGTCATGTTGATTAATATATAGAAGGTGTTGCTTTCTTAATGTCTTCACACCATTTGGTGTGATTTTTAAATGAAATTAACATCTTTGCCCTTTATGCCAAGTTGTTTAACAAAGCATAATTCATGAGTAGAAGGTGAAGAAAGTGGCTTTTGCAAGGCATTACAGATACATAGAATGAGTGATTTCTTTGCAATAATTATCTTGTATGGCATCCCCAAAGTACATAAATGCAATTTAATGTACCTATGTATTATTTGTTTCTGAATCTCTATTATGACAATTATAAGAAGCAGTAAGTGAGGCTCCATGGAACAAAAGAGCAAATGTAAACATCACGACTGTACTTGTGAAAGTAACTTCATTTACTACATAATGAGAGGGCAGAAATCCAAATGTGAAAAGTGTCTGTTCTATTTCAAGAAATCCACCCCTGTATAGCTTAGAATTAAAATGTGAATAATAATAAATAAACCACTGGTTGAAAACAACACAGTAGAAATACATTACAGCCATTCGCTATTTTGTTGTTGCTTTTTAACTAAGCAGCATTCAAACACCTTTCCTACTTGCCTGGAACTCCCCAGTATATGAAATGTGATCAACAGAACCCTAGGCCTAACACCTGAACGGACAAGATCTCTTAGTTAGAACTTGCATCAGTGGCATGTGCATGTTAATGACAGGCTTCAATACCCTGGAGCAGATGACTGATGGATGTAGGGACAGATAAGGCATTTTTCACAGCAGTGGTAAATGCCTTAAGGGCCAGATGGAGTCATGGTGAACTTAGCGGCCATGATGGTAAGAGTTTGGTGGCCGCTGCATGAATTAAGGGTCACTGCGGCTGCGTAGTTTCAGTGGCGAGTACCTGACGTTGTTTCTTACTGCCTAACTTCTACTGGTTCCTGTGCGGTGTGTTGCCTTAGTTGCTCAGTTATGTCCGACTCTTTATGACCCCATGGGCTGTAGCCCACCAGGCTCCTCTGTCTATGGGATTCTTCAGGAAAGAATACTGGAGTGAGTTGCCATGCCCTCCTCCAGGGAATCTTCCCAACCCAGGGATCGAACCCAGGCCTCCCGTACTGCAGGCCGATTCTTTACCATTTGAGTCACCAGCTAAGCCCATGAATACAGGAATGGGTAGCCTGTCCCTTCTCTAGGGGATCTTCCCAACCCAACAATCGAACGGGGGTCTTCTGCATTGCAGGCCGATTCTTTACCAGCTGAGCTACTAGGCAAGTCCCTACTGGTTCCCACTTCTTGCCAAACCTGATTTTTAAGGCCTTGCACCAGTTTTGAAGACTACATAATATTATTCCAATAAACTGTTCTGTTGCTTTCCTTGGTCAGAGTTGGTTTTTGCTGTTTGATAATGTAAACATTCTCTGATAAACGCCGTAACACTGTCAGAATCCTCTAAACATGAATACAGCATTACCTACACTAATGTGACATGCGGACTAATTGAGATGATTCAACACTGCCTCCAGAAACTAGTACCCCTGCTCCCATAACTACTCTTTCTCCTGTAGTGAAGTTACTGTACTGAGTCATGACCTCAAATGCTCATTCTGTAGAAAACTATCTGTTTATGAGCAGTTTATTCTCGGAGCTTCACATCTGTCATTTAAGAATAAAAACTTTCATTGAATCATCTTTAAGCATGCTCAGCTAAATATTTGAATTTATGATTTAATCGCTGAGTATCATTTAAGACTTTTCTTATGCTGACTTTTGTGAGCATCACCCAAGATTCAATAATGGGCCATTTACAGATTTTAAGTATAATCATTCCATCAAAGGGCTTGGTGGAAGAACCATTCTCAAAGAAAAATACTATCACATTTATTCCACATGTATTGCTTTTAACTTGGACCTTTGACTGGATTTTCTTTCCTGTTCATTCTCAATTTATAAATCTGGAAAACCAAAGAAGTCTAGAGAATACTTCTGTTTATTTTTTTTAAGAAGATTTCTTTGCTCCTTTTCTTGTTTTGAAAATGTCTGTAAAATATACACTGTCAACTTTATTTTATGAATGCATCTTTCTATTTTCTGTATGTGTGGAGTTATGTAAGATACTATTTCAAATGTTCAAAAAGCCTAGAATTATAATTGCTACCAAATTCTAAGCTTTAGCATCACATATTACTAGCAGTAATTGATCTGACTTTGCACGTTTAAGGAGAAAATGTCAAAGAAGATAAAGATTGATGGAAAGTTCATAATTTTTGGATTTTTTTCATTGCAGATATACAAGGACATCT